CGCCTACCAAACCTTCCGGGAACTTCGCCAGTTTCGTTAGTTTCACCCCTTCCCGGCTTGGCGCTCAGAGACAATCTGCCTCCCTCGGGGAGGCGTGTGCGTGTGCCCCTTGTAGTCACAGGGATTCTCTATTGAATTTGACTTGAAGATTCACCTTTTCAAGCAAGGGGCTGGAGCCGTAGTTTCCTAGTGTGTCCATGCCATCTCCATCTCATGTGACTGCCATGCCCATGTCACACCCATGCAATGTGAATGCCACGCCCATGTCACCACCATGCCATGTCCATGCCATCTCCAGGTCATGTACTGTAAATGCCATGCCCATGTCATGTCACGCCGTGTCCATGTCATGGTATGCCCGTCTCACCTGCTGCAGCTGGAGTGGACATACCAACTTCCACTTACCGCCTACCAAACCTTCTGGGAACTTCGCCAGTCGTTAGTTTCACCTACCCTTCCCGGCAGGGGGACATGGCGTGCGTTCAGGGACCATGTCCAACGAAGCTACCTGACGCACGGTATATGAGAGCTGATCACTCTCACGCACCTGCATTTTTCCACTGCATTTCAACTTTTAAGCTTTCCGTCATGCACTCTGCAGTTGTGAGCGACCGTCGTCATCCTGTCATCCCGATCTCGACTTGAGTTTTTGGCCTCACTTCCTTTTGAAGACCCCCAGGCTCTTTAGGGCTTTCCTGGACCTTTCAGGATTTTGGGTTTCTTAGGCTGGCGTGTGGCGTGTGGCATTCAGTTCCGTATGCATATCTATAAGTGTGTGTGTCACCCTCCGTCTCTAGGAGTTTTGGTTATCACCATCCTCAATGTCATAAGCAGGGGCGTGTGACACTCTTATCCTATCACACGCAGCGAAGCTGTGGATAAGAGTGGGAAGGGAAACTTGGCCAGTTTCCTGTACCTGCGATTTGAACTGTTGATCCCCTTCGCTGTTTTTTGCTTGCGTGATCCTTTCATGCTAAACCCCAACAGCAGTTTTCTGCAGACCTTGCGCTGTCGTCGAGTTTCCGCAGATGTGCTCAAGTGCTTGGACGCTTCACCTTGCCGTTGAGCCATTCCTTTCCTCCGGGATTATGGTTAACTGAAAACCTTATGACTATAAGTGTGAGTGTTTGTATGTGTTCTCTGAGACTTGTTCTGGTATTGAGCCACGACATGAAGAACGATAGGGGAGCCCACATGCATCTAGGGAAAGCACAGGCATGGAAAACGATAGGGGCCTCACTAATTCAAAACGAATACAACCTATACAAGCACATATGCTCTTACGCAATGCATGAACATGCCAATACATTTTGGCTCAAGGTGCTGAGTACTAAGTGTGTGCGAGAAAAGCCGCTCATTCGCCTTCGCTCACTTGCCTGTTGCAGGGGTATTGTGCATTATACGCGCCACTGCGGGGTATTTGACCTTCACCCCCCACCTGCCCCTTCCGCGTCAAAGAGATGTATGGAGGAGACCGCAAGTGATCATGGCTTTGGACTCTGGCCCTTTGGTGCCTGATTCATGTTGGCAACCCTGGTGCGCAAGTGATCCCCGCCCGATTTCAGATGCAGGTCAAGTTTGCAAAAGGTTTTGCAGTCTTGTGCTTGCAACGGCGTTTCGACAGTAGCCAGCAGCGAAAATAATGCCTAAGTCGGCAGATTTGGCAGGTGTGTGTGGCTCACCAACATTGTGCGGCCTGTCACTGAGTAAATTGCGGTGCTGTTGCAATCATTTCAGCAGATCTAGCAGTGTGCCCAGTGATTTCAGGCCGTGGGCAAGCAGTTGACTGTTGCGCCTTCCTGCTTGCAGTTGACGTGCGGAGCCTGTCCAAATCGCCTTTGACTGCAGGGACTGGGTTTGGCTTTGAGGCTGACACCAATAGAAAGTACAGCATTGGCAAGACGAAGCCGTGTATTGCAGCCTGGGGCTTGCTCCAGTCATGAATTGGTTGATGCTGTTAGATGTTCATTGTCACGTTGGGTGAAGCTGAGGCAAGGAAAGGCATGTTCACACCTTCAGCTTGTTTGGTGAAACCCTTGGGTTTTGGTTGAACTTCCGGCACTGTATAATTGTAAATAACTTCGCTTCGTGTGGTTTATTGTGAGATATGCCGAGGGGACGTTTCCAACCACGTAGACGTACCCTTTCATTTGTCAAGCAGGAATTGTTTTCAAGGTATTGTTTCGGTCGTTTGGATGGTTTCCGCATGCCTTGTGAGTTTCTGATATTTGTTCTTCCATTTTTGCTTTCAGAATGTTTCGTTGTTCATTGTTTTTGCTGATATTCAGCTTTCCTAGCCTTGCTGTTTTTAAATTCCTTTGCACTTCATAGCTGTTCAGCACCTCCACTGGTGGATGTATTTACTTGCTTTTGGGCAAGTGCTTTGCCTCCGCCGCTTCTCTTCGAATCGCATGTGCTCAGTTTATGTTGGCGCGCTAAACTAAATTCCTTCGACAAATTCTGGGTCCATACCCTTTTCTTTGTAGTGTGCACCCTTTTGTGGCTACAGCGAGACGTTGCACTTCCCGAAAGAAAGCGTGCAAGTTTAAATGCAAGCGATTTGAGGCAAAACTTTGAAACGAAGACCTTGCGATTTCATCGAACCACTGAGCGCCCCAAAGCAGGGTTCTCCGAGCCCGATTTGCCAAATGAACTCCTTGTAGCACAGACACCCGGGGTTTGAAGGTCAGAGCACCAGTGAAGCTTGCAACTAACATCCTAGGTCAATCTAGGTCAGCTTATTGCACACGAGGTGGTTGTACACACAGTTTCAAGCGACAACGACATGAACAGCAGAAAGTCATACCGTACCCCAGTGGAGGCTCTCAGAACTGGCGTCGTTTATGTATATACGTTTCACAGCGTAAGCAAACAGGGCTGGGCAAGGACTCCACTGCCTTTCTGAAGAAGAAGGACACGCTGCCGGTGCCAAGTCACGCAGGGTTACTTACCCTGGGCTGAGCCAGGTGGTGAGGATTCAGAAGAAGAGCAGGAGTCCACGGATGAAAGTTCCGGGAAGAAAGGCTTCAAGGCCAAGTTGATGAAAGCCAGGGACGAGGTCAAACGTCTCAAGAAGGAGTTGACCGGAACAAGGAGCCGGCTAAGAGCGAGAAGGCCATGGTCAGAAAAGGGGCATTGAAAAAGAAGAAGAAGTCCTCCCCAGAGGCCAAGGGGTCGCATGGCCTGAAGCACGAAGAGAACGGAAAAGAGAAGAAGAAGAAAAGGAAGCCCCTCTCGGGAGGTGGTAAAGGAGGGAGGAGGTGACCGGGCTCGCAGGAAGGAAGCCCGAGTGGCCAAGGAAAAGAGGAAGAAGGCCTCAGAGTGATCCTCATATAGCGAAGATGAGGAGGAAGGCGTGTTTGGTGAAGGGGGCGCAGCTGGTCCTGCAGAGCGCTCGTCTAAGGGCTGAAAGGAGCGGGTGTATTCAGCAGTGACTCTGACACAGGTGAAGCCCCGACAGCTCCAAAGGCATCCAATCAGCTTAAGCTGAAGCAGTATGCGAAGAAGAGTTGCTCTTGAAGATGCAGGCAGAAGGGGCCCAGATCCTTGCCTCTCTGCAAGGCCTTCACCCTTTCATCTCAGACTTCAGCCACGGGAATCCCATGACATGTCTGCGGACAGACCTCGTCTCTCTCCCGCAATGAGTCCTTTGCACCGGAGAGGGAGCAAAGGGTTGCTGCCGGCAGGGTATTGGTCATGCCCAGGGATGTCCCTTCCACACTGCGCACAAACCGTCGGGTCCCGCTCCATGGTACATGGTGGCGCCAGAAACTCTACAGCTTTAGCAGCACCTCCTCCCGAGGCAGCCGTCGCGGAAATCTCTAAATTTTTTCCGCGCCCGCAGACGGGTGTACATCAGCACGGTAAGCAATATCATCATGGCCACCTCATCCCTCCAGGATGGCAAATAGCGGAAGCCTGAAGCAGCGCCCAAAGGATGCTTTGCCAACAAAATGCCGCAACTCGGCCTCCGACCACTTCTCCCTGCCAAACGCCAAAACTTACGATCTCTGCCATCTTCTGCGGAGCCAAGCCATAACGCCCTTCTTGGCCATCCAACTCACCCCCCTTGCAGGGCGCCAAGCGTTGAGGCAACCAACTTCTTGCTCATTTTATGGGAGCTTGGGCCTCTCACAGACCTTGAGGAATCGAGCGTGCCGCTCTGACATGCCCGCACTCAACACCTCCTCACAACCTCTCTTGAACTTCCTCAACTGATCGCATAAGAACCCAAGTAGATCACCGTCAGGTCCTCTTCCGACAGGGGTTGAGTCTTGGCCACTTCAGATTCCTGCGGGGTCTCCGACTCTTTGAAGACCGGGGATCTCACGATACTCTGGATCACTGCAACGCTGTTTATGGGTCGCGGCATCCACTGGCTTGGCAAATGCCATGTACTTACGCCAGGCCTGGGGCAGGCAAAACAAATTGAAGCAGCTTGTTGACCAACCACATCGCCTCCTCCCCCTGTTCCAGGAGGGTAAGCTGGCCCAAATAGGGTAGTAGCCTGTCATCGCAATCAAACAACCTCATTCCACAGTTCATCGGTGGCCCTCACTCTTGAACAATGACACTGCTGCTTCCAAGCTGAGGCCAAGCCGCAATGACCTTCTCCGCCACTGGTTCTCCTTGGTAGTCAAACCGGACTGACGCCTTCATACGAGCTTGCGATCCTCCAGGTAAGTCAGAGCCCGCCTCAAATGGTCTATCGTCAGCGTTGTGCCTGAAGTCCGGGGCCGACCAACCCCCCAAAGTGGGCCTTAGCCACGCAGTTCAGCGCACTCACCATGCCTGCCACTCTTTGAGCCACCTGCTTACCCCGAGGTAGGAGATATGCGTGGCAGCCTGTGGGCCAGGCGACTAAAAAGAAGTGTCCTTGCTTGCAAGGTGCAGCCACAGGCCACTAAACATCTCAACCGGAGTTCGCTTGGATGCCAGGAAAGCTCTCCATCCCTCGGAACTCGAGCCCAGCGGCGCCGGTGTGCGCTTCACCTCCGGCGCTTCCAAAGTCAATCCTTCTTCTCCTTCTCTTTGTCTCCTCCTTTGCCTTTTCCTCTCTCCTTGCCCTTCTGGCCGCCCTTCACCTGACTTCTTTTTCGTCCTTGCCTCCTCTCGAGGATTCTGGTATCCTCTCAGTTAGGGGTACCGCGGCACCGGCCCGGTTACCCACAACAAGACAAACTTCTGGTATCCTCTTGGTGCTCGCGGTTCATGAAGATCTCCTCGGCCCTCTCAGCAAGCCTCCTGCGTCGGGACCGAGAAGCTCTAGAGATTGAGCGGCTGCCAATGCCTGTCGTGGCAACTCTTCTCGATGGCTTTCAATCTCTGCCCGATCCCGTCGGCCGCATGGGCCGGTAACTTGCGTGCCAACATGTCCAGCGCTATGCAAAGCATCCTCATCTCTCGGCGGGCTCGCAGGCCCAGGCGACGATCATCGTGTGGAAGTAGTGGACTGCCACGGGAGGAGTCACTTCTCCTTGCTCGACAGGATTCGCCCCCTCACTTCCCTGTCATCTCTCGATGAATTGCGCGGGACGCACTTTCCTTGGAGATGATGGCCCTGGCTACTAGCCGGCTGGCTGAACCAGATGTGGCTGGTCCTATGGCAGAAGGGCTTGCTTTGCGGGAGGGCTACATGGAGAAGGGCCACCTTATATTATAATAGCTCTCTTCTGAAGCAGGCAACTTACCGAGGAACAGGCGTTCGAATGTTTCTCGTGATTGAGGGGGCAGACGGCCCTCAGATGCATGAGCAACCATATTTGGCCATGAGATGGCAGTGGCGGACGGTCATGTCCTATGCATGGAGGCAGGAAGCTCACCTCAATGAATTGGAGCCACTTGCAGTGGCAGTCTTCTCGACGCGGCGCGCTCGAGCACGGTCCAAGCAGCATTTCAGGTTCTGCCACGTCCTGGACAAGGGAGGAGCAGTTCTTGGAGGCTCAACAAACTAGCCCGAAGGTGCAGTGCCTACCGGTTCTTGACCGTCAGGCGATGGAACTTCCGGACAAGGCCAGCAGAGCTCATGAAGCGTAACAAGAAGAGTCTACAATTCGCAGGCCTGCATTTGTAGACTTTGCGAGTCTGCCGCACAGCCTCGGATCGCTTTTCTCAAGGTTGTCCAGTGCCGAAGACTGAGTATTCAAAGCCACATCGTTTGGATCGGCAAGTTGCTATAAATCATTGTTCAATCTTACCAGGCAGGTGTGCCCATGAGCTACCACCTCCTGTCGGCAATTAAGCGGTTTCACCCAGCACTGTGCCTGGAGTTATCGCAACTGGCAACGCTACTACGCCCCAACTTGTGCGGTGCCAGCGCATTGGGAGTTGGTAGAAGCATTGATGGGCCTGGCCCACTCCCGTGGATGTCCAGAGTTCGCCTTGTTGATTGCTGTCGGCTTCAACGCCATGCTGCGTTCCAGCGAGATGCTGACCTTGACGCATCAGCGCATATAGTCCCTCACCAGCACGGCAGAGGCATGAGCATTATCATCTCTGGCAGTAAAACCTCCCAAAGAACCCGCAGGTGGTATTGGTCCTGGATGACACCTTGATAGCGTACGCAGAAACCGCGGGAGCAATCCCTCTTGTGTCTCCAAGGCCCTCATGGTTTTCGACAACTGTTTGCATCACTGCTGCAGCCACTCGGCTTTGCAGAACATGACTTTACCCCCTCCAGCTTGCGTAGGGGTGGGGCGACTTGGTTTTTCCGAACTTCCCTCAGCATCGATGCCACTGTAGCACGGGGACGATAGTCCTGCAGCAAAACAGCTAAACAGCACCTACCAACTGGCCCAGGTGCATTTTTCTTTCTCCCAGAGTCGCAGAGGTCACGTGTGAAGACTTGGAGGTTGGAATTTTTGCGGCTCCGCCAGGGAACAGGAAGCGGAGGTGAGTCCTTTTTCTTCCTGCAGAAAGT